ATATGTATGTTGTACGCTCAGGGAGGCAGTCATCTGCTGCTGCCACCAGTGGTTGGCTGTCTAGTTAATCAGTTAGGCCATCAATTTGTCTATTCTATGAGCCGTGGTGTATCGTTGGATCTGCTACAGGGATCAAATTAAACAAGAATGAACCATAATGTCCAGTGCTAACTATGGGTTATCTTGTTAGTGGCCGAGTAGAGACTTCGCCCTGCGACAGTTTATAAATCAAACCCAGGATCCTCCAACCCCAATACTCTATGCTTTGCGCATCATATATGGATAAAAATGGAAACCCATCAATAAGATACATATACCGTACTGCCCACTTTATCCCATCTATATGTTATCATTGGTTTGTTCTATCTGTAACTGCACACATAAAAGCACATTGCCCATCTTTTTATAATATATTTAGGTTCTTTTGCCCCGTAGGCCAGCAACCAGAAGTTGTCTTTTGTTTAATGACGAGGATGCTCCTGTCGCCAAAAGCTCGGTCCACAGCCCGCGGCTCAAGAGTGGGGCCGGATCCACAAGCCGAGAGCCAATAGTTACCGCCGGCTATTGTATCATACCCGCTATTTGGTTGTTCATAAGACAGAGGATATGCCGGTGTAGTAGGGATTAAAGAGGTAGTACAGAGATGAGCTTGATATCGCGGACGCAGGCACTCATGTTTTATTGGATTTAAGCAATTCGCCCTTGCTGGAGAGAAATCTCAACCTAGGTAGCTGATAAAGGCATTAAATTGACTCGACTGAGTGTAGATTCTACTACTTTGTGGACTATGCCAATTAGTTCTTCCTATCTCGCTGATTACGCCTCGGTACGTCTCTGGATTGCACATATAATATACTACAGCTGTCTCTATTGCTCTAGTGTGTCGTTTCGCTTTATATTCAAAGACTAGTCTGTTGTAAGTACGGAGTATTTTTCGGTCATAATTAAGTATTGAATCTTTATGTCCTGGCGTATCCTTGGGTTCGGGTTTACCATCGTAACTACATTATACTTGGTATCCGATGTGTTAGACTGCTAGGTCTCATATTTAGACCTCTAAGTTAGCTTAATCCGCAGCCCATATGAAGCAAGTGAGAAAGGTACTTGAAGGAAATGTGTCAGAGAAACATCGCATTTGCATTCGTACACACCCACTGTACGCTAGTTACCGCGAGTTTAAAAATATATACTTCTGCCATGTAGTATCCTGCATGCCCATGAGGCTGGACCCAGGAATTCTGTTTGTAATTCCAGTATAGAGTACTTGCAGTGTACTCCATAAGTCGACGTAGTATCCGTAATCGGATCTCAGTTCAGACTCTTGCTCTGTGTTAACTCCTGTTCACTTAGAAAGCTGCAGCCATCCTTTGCGAAGAAACATTCCATAACTAATCAGTAAATTGGTGTAGATCTCCTTTTGTGTGATGTATCATACTCACTCGCCACCCGAGAATTATCTCTTCAGCCCAAGATGAAATACATACTGCTAGTAGGGCTGTGCCCATCCGATATGTTTGGCTACTCTGTGTCTCACAGCCCAATGCCTGTTACCAAGTACTTTTCTGGTAGATGCGTGGGGGGGGTAAAGTTAGCAACTCGTGCTCTACCCGGTTGATTCTCACAAACTGCTGTCTACTATTAATATAGAGTTGTCCTTGTCAGCTTGTGAAGAATATTCGAATACCCCGTAAGGAGTACGGAGTACTTCGTAGTATGGTCACTAGTTCAGTTCTTAGAGTGCTCTGTTGCTGCTCTGCAGACTCGAGAAGCCTCTCTCGATCAAGATCCCTAGTAAAAGGTCTGCCCCCTAGGACATAGCTCTAGGACATAGCATCGAACTATTTTCAGTTTCTTGGGAAGCAATGGTATAAAGATGCGTCAAGGACAGATATCGGTATGAGTGTTAACTACAGTTCGACAACAAAGGCATTAAATGCTTGACTTTCCCTGATATATAGTATATATATATTACGACAGCAAGTTCGACACGAAAGCCGCTGCGACGGTCCCGGTGGCTATCCCGTGGGGCGAAAAAGAATCCTCGTCGACGCCCTTTGATCCACACACACCCCGGCAGGCTCTCCAGCTTGTTCTCGTCGGCTTAGCTCTCACAACACGACAACAGTATCCGTACGGAATACGATAACTATTTTATCATCCTCGACGACACAAAGAGAATCATGCAAACGAAGTGGTGGTATAACAGCCATCCTATATCTTGATTTCAGCTTCGCAACTCGTGGAACGAGGCACAGACTGTCCACGCAGGGAGTTACACTACTGAGCAGGCGCTGTTCGACTCGAAGGGACGGATCAACCAGCTCTTTATCCTATTGCGGGACCCTGTATGTCTGACAAGTTGCTCCTCGAGCAGCTGGGATTGAATTTCTCGACCCTGAAAATTAGGAACCGGCAGGATGGCTTGAGATCAACGGCAATATCATCTTAGTGGCTGCATGGAGCTAAAAAGCCACACGCATATGTGACGGCTCAACCATGGAGAAATATCAACGCCAATACCATCACTAGCCAGGCTCGGACCAGAACCCTGTTCTGGGCGGAAGAGCAGGAGTCCACACGGAAAATCCAACGGGGATCCCCTATTCGACTGACGTTGCCTTTGAAGGTCTGAAGGATGCGCATGGCCAATGAAAGCGGATTCACTCGCTTGCGGGCTTGACCAGTGGGAGAAGCTGGTTGGCTCACTACGCAGGAATCCAGGGCCTGTTTACAACCAGCTCTGATATGCATAACCTGCATACTCCGTATCGCAACACCAACCAGGTCGCGTGAGGCGTCCAATTTTTCTTTCCACGACAGATTTGCGGTGGAGGCGAACAATCAATTGAGCGCTTACTCAACTTTAAAAAGGAGAGAACAAGCGCAGAAAATACAGCTTCAGCCAATGTCTAGGCCCGGTTCCCTTGTGCCCTTGTCCCATTGACGTAAACCCATGCAATGGTTTGGGGGGGTCACCTTGCACATAATTCGCTGGCAATGTTACCATGACTGGAAGAAAAAATTTGATGCCCTGCGTGCCGTCTAAGAAGCTCGGGCGGAGTTTGAAGCATAACCAGGCGTGCGTGACTGGTTCATTCACGTCAACAACACTTGTACTCCGTACACCAGGTTGAGACATGATGTACGGAGTATGCATGGCTTAAATGTGTGGGACTGCGCATAAGTCTTTCCCGTGGTTCCGAGACTATTTTTTCGAGTTTCTTATCGAAATGCGAGTCTCAGATTCGTTGCTTTCATCCTCTTCGGTTCTTCTATTTCCTTTATTACGAGACGATGATATAACCAATGGACGAAGCAGCCCCCGGCCGCGTAACTACAGCAATAATGTGAGCTGTGGAATTACCAGGGCTCCATTATTAAGATACGAGATGTCCTCACTGTGCCGAGGGGCGCGCCTTCACCGCTGGCAATCAGCTCATGTCAGCCGTCAAACCCATTCGTTTAGCAGGGAGGCGTGAAATGCGGCCAGTGCGCTTAACTAGCTAGTTGGAATAAGATGGCGTATGCAGAAAGCTCCAAATAAGCTAACGATAGTTAGGACTTTTAGTTTAACTACTCCGTATCTCATCTTGAACAGCAGGGCATGAAGTCTTCCATACCCCGTATTCTGTGCAGGATGGTGAAGACCCATCGAAGTACTCCATACAGAGTACCGTTTAGCCGGTTGACCCCGAGGGTGGTACTATCAAATTCGCGGAGGATGCACAATAGTACGTCCTGTATATAGGGGTACCCCAGCCAGCAGGCTAGTTAGCTAGTCCAACTGGAGGCAGTTGGCTAGGAAAAGAATTGGGTCCAATGTTTAAAGCCCAGCCGGCAACGCCACCCGAGCAACAGGAATCCAGATCCGCCAAATACCAATGAGCTGATAGGTGACAGTCTGGTTATACGATCGACGAGGAGTGAAAATGGTGGTGCAACATGCATTAATGGGCCCGGTTGTTCCATTTGCTTTTGCTCCTGAGACTTTCCATTATTTATCAATGGCTTGGGGCCTACTCGTGGGTGGCCGAAATCTCCCAGGCGTTTTGCCCAGAGTAGTTTCAATTTTCATACTTGGATATAGCGGTATTCAGTATGACAGCTGGACCTACAGAGACGACCAGTTTACTCCCACGGGAGGAGGGCGTCAGGGAACGTCCCAAAAATGACAGTAAGCCCGTAGACACCGGCTTGTCATGGAAGAGGTTGCTCGGCATCATTGGGGCTTTACTTGGTATTACTCCCCGGGCGTTTTCCCCTTCGAGTAGCGAAATGTGGATGTTGACGCTATATAGGTGTTTTCCTTGCCGGTGCGGACGAGTCTATGGTACTGGTAACATACCAGACCATTGCCTCGCATTTCAAGCAGCTAGGGGACAGTCCCTGGGTGCTTGCAGGATACAATCTGGGTTATTGTGTCGCTCTACCAGTGGTAATTATTCTCCGGAAAAGAGAGGATGCCCTTAAGGTTCAACTTGCTAATTGCTTTCAATCTGTACAGTATGGGAAATTGAGCGACACTTATGGCCGACAGATACCCTTGGTCGTCTCCTATTGCCTCTTTAGCGGTGGCTGCATATTTTCGTATGTTATCCCTCTCGAGCCTTCGGTTCGAGCCGCATAGACAACTCTAATACATGAATAGGGGTACGGCAACTGCATTATGGCAAGTTATTGCTGGGAGAGTGATCACAGGGATTGGGGCAGCTGGCATGGTTGCTCTAGTATGCGTGTTAATCACTGGTAGGGATCAACTTTTGGAAATACACGATCAAGTTATTGACAACCCGCAGATAATGTTTCGCCCAGCCAGGTAGCAATTACGCGGAGCTACGTGAACATGGTCAGTGTCTTCGGTCGTGTTCTCGGAGGCCCCATTGGGGCTTTCATTACAGACAGCGTTGGGTGGCAGTTGTAAGTGTTGTCCACTTACCTAGCAATGATAGCAGGGCCAATACATAAGTTTACTGACTATTTTAAGGTCTTTCGTTGTCCAGGCTCCAACCGCCATCATGTGCTGTATCATCTCCATAGTCCTTCTACCTCCAGCCAAACCAATGGACAAGAATGTGAAAAAGATTGCGCTGCGCAAAAGAGTCGATTTCCTAGGGATCGCTATGTTTGCTATCTCGATCACTACCTTCCTTGTTGCCCTCAGGCTTCTAGGTGACCATGAAGCTTCGACGAGAATAACGATTCTATTCGGAGTAGTCTCCGTTGTATTTGGTGCTTTTTTCCTTGTGGTGGAGACATACTATGCGAGGGAACCTGTTATTCCCCCTGGCTTACTCAAAAGCATGGCAGGTCCATACGCTGTCCAGGTGCTTTTACAAGTAGGAGCCTTTGCGGTAATAATCCCCCCACCCTAGAAGATTACCCTCACAATATACACTTGGAACAATGGTCACTGACATTTGCACAGAATTTGACAAACATTGCGCCCTATTTCATTCGCACCACAGGGGCCAGTAATACACGAGCTGCAATTTACCTTGCTCCTGTGTTCGTGGGTTTCACAACGGGCTCTGTCACTGCTGGTTATATCATCAGGAAGTAAGTTACACACCTTTTGTTACGATAAGCGAGATTGTACCTATGGAACAATGAAACTAATAATGTTTTCTTTGTGACAATTTAGAACTCATAGGTATAAGACCTTATCAATTATATCTGTTCTTCTCGGCCTCACGTTTTTCATCCTGATTGCGGTAAGATGGCGGACTGGGGTAAGTAGCTGGGAGTCGCTATACGTGCTCCCAGCTTTCCTGAGCTTCGGTCTCTTACTCTCGACAACCTTTACCGGGCTGATTGCGTGCACTCCGAAATCCATTCATGCTACAGCTATATGCGTCTACTATCTCTGCCAGCAGGTTGGCACCATGCTTGGAACTGTGCTTTCCTCTCTGACTATTGAAACAATATTGCGTGAGGTTCTTAAGATACGCCTGGAAGACATTCCTAACAAAAAGGAGGTAAGCAGCCTTCCGTCTACATCTCTATGATTCGATAGCATCCGGTCACTGACCTTCATCGGCAGATAATCGAGCGTGTTCTACATGATTCTAACCCTAGCATCATCCCCGAGGCGCTACGAAGCATTGTTCGTAGCAGCTATCTCTACAGTTTTCAATTTGCTGCCTGTTAGTACAACCATCTCAAACCCTTACAATGTAAATGGAAATATTAACACTGATATAACAGTTTTACCCGTGATCACCACTGCCATGGTTCTACCATTAATGGCAATAGACAGGGAGGTAGAGGTTGAGTAGTGAGTTAACGTCGATCTGCTTCTTCCTCTCCCTATTGATGCTTTGCCAGATTTGAGATCGGCCTAGATTATATTGCAAAGAAAAATAATCAACAAACCAAAAAGCTGGCAGAGGGTCAAGTACAGCTGTATTTACCCCGAATATCAACAGCGGAAAATCTCACCGTTTGACTGTATTTACGCTAATATCTCTCAGGTTGGCTTTCTGGAAGTATACTTTTAAACATGGGGTGGCTACTTCATCGTTATCAGCTTGTAACCTATTACATACTCATTCTAATATATATGTCAAGTACATGTTTTACAAACGCAACTAGAAGTAATAGAGTCCTTTAAGCATGAATATATGACATTTATCATGTCTTGCCCACCTGAATCTCGGAATGATTTCATCTTCGCTCAGATTAAGGTTAAGGTTAAGGTTAAACCTCGGTCACAAACTCATGGACCAACGTTATTCCCCATTCCTTACATAATATTCATCCCACGTGATATATGACTAATCCTAAATTTTCTTCTTCTTCAACGTCAAAAAACGAAGCAAAGTTGCTCCCTCGCCATAATCACGACGACAAGAGGCAGCAGAAGTGGTCTGTTAACTAGATAAATCATTGCTACAAGTCCCGCGGCAGAATTAATTTAGGTCACTGCTGGTGACAGACAGGAAGACGGTTCTGCAGGCTCTGCGGCCAGGTTCAAGCAAAGCAAAGGGTTCGACCGACTCGCGCTTCCCTTCTTACTGTCTCCCCTCTCGCATCTAACGGAAGCAAAAAGTGATATCTACTCCTATCCGCCCGCGTTCCTCTCCTATATACCTCCATATACCTCTTTGTTTCTTTCCATCATGTCTGGTATCGACGTCGAGGCGTTACTTGATTCAACTGCGGACCCTGGACAGGATACCTCTAAATCTCCGGAAACGTCAGATCTGAAAGACAACGAAGTCGACAAGAAAAAGGACCGTGATGGACGCCGTGACCGAGATGGCTCCCGGGACCGCGATAGGGATAGGGATCGTAGACGCCGTGACCGTAGCCGAGACCGACGCCGCGAGAGGGATGCCGATGGAGACGAAGAGATGAAGAGCCCAAAAAGCGATCGCGCAAGTGCTAACGGGAGCCATAGAAGCCGAAAGAGAAGTAGAAGCCGTGATAGCGAGAGGAAACGCTCTCGCTGCGACCGTGACCGTGACCGTGACCGTGACGACGCCTACCGCTCGTCCGGTGGCGGCGGAGATTTCTACCGAGGCGGTGGCCGGACGAGGTCCCGTTCCCGATCTCCGCTCGACGATAGATATTATAGACCAACTGGCCGAGCACGTCGTGATGGGGATGATCGGGACGATGAAAAGCGTCGCTCCCGGCGGGATAGGGACAGCCGTCGACGTTCGCCTAGCAAGACACCCGAACCCCAACTGACTGAAGATGAACGCGACAGGCGCACCGTATTTGTTCAGCAACTTGCTGCTCGCCTAAGAACGAAGGAGCTTATTGCTTTCTTTGAAAAGGTTGGCCCTGTAAAGGAGGCCCAGATTGTGAAGGACAGAGTTAGTGGGAGATCCAAAGGGTAAGCAGGTTCCTCTCTTATACATATAAATCGCAGGCCGAAAACTAATTTATTTTCTTAGTGTTGGTTATGTCGAGTTTAAGAACGAAGAATCAGTCCCACTTGCCATCCAGCTTACTGGACAAAAACTTCTAGGAATCCCAATCATCGCCCAGTTAACAGAAGCCGAGAAAAATCGTCAGGCTCGTAACCCTGATGCTCACTCCAACAACAATCAGCAGTCTATTCCCTTCCACAGGTTGTATGTCGGTAATATTCACTTCAGTATCACTGAAAGCGATCTGCAGAATGTTTTCGAGCCGTTCGGCGAACTCGACTTTGTCCAACTGCAAAGGGAAGAAGCCGGACGTAGTAAAGGATATGGCTTCGTACAGTATGTTACTACTACCTATATTATTACTCTCCCCGCAACCAAGACAATTAACTAACAAATTCTGACAGATTTCGTGACCCTAACCAAGCTCGTGAAGCTCTTGAGAAGATGAACGGTTTCGATCTTGCTGGTCGTCCCATTCGTGTCGGCCTAGGCAATGACAAATTTAGCCATGATCCGGCCCAGCTGATGCAACGACTTCAACAACAGGGCCACAACCAGGGATCATCGTATTCCCACCACGGCGGCCGCGGAGCCAACACGGGTGGTAGTTCCGGCGGTAATTTCGACCGTGCAGGCGGCCGAGACAATGACAAAGGCGCTGGCGGTGCTAGCGCGCTAGATGATACCGACGTCGCCGGTGTGAACTTTAACAATTATAGCAGAGACGCATTGATGAGGAAACTCGCAAGAACAGATGAACCCGCCGCTGAACCCGCCCCTGACGAGAAACGGAAAGCCCCCAAGGCTCGTACAGAGGCTAAGCCTCTCCCTGTCACCGTCAACATGGCAAGTCGCTGTGTACTTCTACGGAACATGTTTGATCCAGCCCAGTAAGTTACCTCGACATTCTGTATCTTGAATTTTTGTTTTTCATCCGATACAGAAGTGCTAACTCGTTTATAGGGAAGAAGGCGAATCTTGGGTTAAGGAACTCGAGGATGACGTCCGCGCTGAATGCGAAGAAAAGTATGGCCATGTTGTTCACATCTCGTTAGATCCCAATACCCAAGGTGACATCTACCTCAAATTCGACCGTGTCCAAGGAGGTGAAAACGCCATCAAGGGTTTGAACGGCCGATTCTTCGGCGGCCGCCAGATCAGTGCCCAGCCCGTCGTCGATGCTGTTTACAGTAGTCTTTTCTCCAGGACCAAGGCCATATGAGCTATCTCCGCAAACCATGACTGAAAGAGACTTAGGTTTCTGTTAACTGGACTCTCGGCCACAGACGGTAGGTATTATCCACGCGACCTTTGAACAGTGCTTTCCCGCGTGCTCTTGCTACTACCTCACCAACCCCTGACTTCTTAGGAGTACGTGATCCTGCCCTCGCTCACTGTGTGCCTCAGGAGTAAGAGAAAATATCAAAAAGTTATTCTCAAAATGGTGGAGTGCTTCAAGTGGTATGTACCGTCAGGGAGATTTTTCTTATTTTCTGGCTCTACCACCCCTGCCGTCTTCCTGAGCATGGCTAGTTACATCTAGTTTTTCCTTTATTGCCACAATTTGTATAGGTGCTTGATTGATCTTCGCTCATAGGCAAACATAAATATATTATTCATACATAGTTCTTTTTCCTTGGTAAATATGGTAGCATAAATATGATGCTGTGTACCCATTAGTACTATGTCAGGCTGTGACTATCTAGCTGTAGTATTTTCACTCATATCCAGAATTGCTAGATTTTCCTTTTAATCAACTCTCAGGTTGAACCTACTACGTAAAGGGACATATCATCTGCTCGAGGCTGATACCTATCTTTTATAGTACCTGGAAATCTGCGTAGTAGTTTACCAGGCTGTTATCTCTCAAGCCCTAACTTGAATCCCTATTGTAGCTACTATATTCAAGCTGCCAAATAGAAATGAATTTGCTATTTAAAAACTTACTATATAGATAGCAAGGCATATGTGCAGCTCACCTTTCTAAGAGGCAGATATCACCTTACTATCTCATATATTATCTCAATAGAAGTGAGACCCACTGTCCAGGCCTATCCTATCTGTCCTGTAGTGACTGCTTAGCGTACCTTTACTCTCACTTCCTGTCCTCCTGCTAGCGCCACTTTTGTGTGTTCTGATATCTTCTTCTAGCGCTTTGTTCCTCTCTTCCTTAAGAAAACAACAACCTTCTCCGTTGCCAGAAAAAGATAGGTAACTCCCTTTCCTTTTTAACAGCAGGAGGTAAGCTTAACTTGCCTACAAAGCTTGGTATCTATTGCTTGATAGATATCGTTCAGAGGTAGGTGTTGTCTTGCTCCTTTTGACGCCTGTTTTCACGCCCTATCTCTGTATGCAGATAGCAGCCGACGCAAAGATATATCTGATCTGATCTGTGGATATCTAATAGAGCAAAAAAAGAGATAGTCATGTCTGCTTATCGTGGGATGCCTGTGACTGGCCCCAGTGGCACGCAGTACTATCATGGTGCGCAGCCTATTCACCCGCAAGCAGGGCTCCTGCAGCCACCGTTGGCTTTGCAACCCTCTGGCTCTGGCTATACTCAGCAACCGCGGCCTCAACTTCAATCTCAGACTCAAGCTCAGCCACAGGGCCAGTCTGAGATCCAGCAGGCGGATATAGACGCGTTTGAGGCCGAGATAGAGTATTTGAAGGAGCAGCTCGAGCACTCTGAGCTTCAGAGAGAGTGTATCCAGAACAAACTCAACACTGCATTAGCTCAGGAGCGTCACGACCACGACATGATTGAAGGGCTGCAGGCTCGTATCCGAGAGCTGGAGGAGATGCTTCAGCGCCATGGAATCCAGGGAGACAGCAGATCTGCATCTATGGCCCTGGTCCCAGTGAGTTCTCCTGATACTGAAGGGTATTCGGGTTCTGGATCCGGTAACGGCAACGGAAACGGGAACGGGTCAGGTACGAGGAGAATGTCGATGCAGGGGCATCCTGAGCTGTCTCCCACAACTCGGTACCAGAACGTCTTTGGACAGCCACCGCCACCATTTAACCTACCTGGAGCTGCAGGTGCAGCTGCGGCCAGTGGAACCGCAAGAGGAAATATTAACCAGGCCGGTGCGGGCTCTCAGTCTCACTTTATCCCGACGAGCTCGAACGCCAACTCGACTGGAGGTACGGGCACTGGGACAACTGGAGTCTCTCGAGGCACGTCATCCTCGCCTGACGAACAGATTGCCTCCTTTGTGTCGATGGTGAACATGCGGCCTCAGCAGGTTATCCATACTCGAGACCCACCATACAACAGTAGCGACTTTGCAAACCGCCTGGTTGGCCTGTGGACAGCATCGAAGTGCTTTGCAATGAAGTACACCAACACCAACTTCATGTATGACGAGAAGGTGATGAGTGCGGAACTGCGTTCGTTTCTGAGCCATGCATCGAGCAATGCAACTGAGTTGCTGGGCAACGTATCCACCCGATTCTTGATGGTCTCGAAGATGATCAACTGGTTCATCACGAGAACAGTCCTGAAGACAAGCGTTGTCAACGGCTTCGATCCGACAGTTGACTCTGAGATCCAGCAGATGACTACCCATCTCCACCCCGGTAAGAGGCAGCCAACCGTTGCACTCCAGTTGAGAGCTCCCCCCACCAGTAGTCAACAATAACTGACCAGTTACAGGCACTCCCACCACGGTAAAGAATGCTATGATCCAGGGTATCGGACACCATATCCTGCTCCTCCGCAACCGCCCGTTGTTCGACAACTTCTTCAACAAGCGCACCCACGAGAACACCCAGGAGCTGTTCCATCTGCTATCCCCGTTTATCTTCTCCCGCGATCCAAGCGTGTGGCGTGACCTTGTCGAGATCATGATTGATGCCCACAGCCTGGCTCTGATCATGCACTCTGGCCCCTACGAGTTCAAGTTCCTGCACCCATTGACTCACCATCACTTTGACCCGACGTACATGACCGACCACAACGCTGGAACGGAGGAGGACTGGCAAATGCAGGAGTCCAAACGCAAGTACACCATCAAACTGTCCATCACGCCTGTCCCGCTGTTCAAGAACGTGGTCACGCACCCTAACGCGGCCGTCCAGGTGCTGCATCTCGGAGACATGCTCTTGAACTCAGAGCCCCGCCGCAAGTAGGAGGACAAGTAGGACAGATCAGATGTTCCTCAGGGGAAACTTCTTCACCCCCCCATCTAAGACACGGTCTTTGTTGTTATTTGGTCTCTGCTCCTTCTGGTATCCTTTTGAATCCCCTTGGAATCAAAGAAAGTGGCCCAATATCAAGTTCAACATCAACACATCCGTCGGCTTTTCAACAAAAGTTGCTGATTCCCTTCCATGTTTCTTCCCCCTGGTATTGCTGCGTTCGTTCAAGGCCTCTGCCCACACTCATGCTGCGTCTTCCTTGCACTGCCGGTGCTCGCATGATGTAATTCATTTCTCAGATAGGCCGTTTATTAGTTCTTTTTAATCCATGATTTTGATGTTTTCACTTCTTTTTTTCATTTTGACCTCAGAAAATCTCAAGTTGAAGAAGTTGAAGATGAAGTTCAGATTTCCTTTTTTTGGGGGGGAGTAATTTATTACAGACATCCTCGTATTGACAGCATCTTATTGGTTGAAACAGTTGTCCTGTGTAATGCTAATACAGAGCGGCGTAACCCACGCTAGTCCCAATTAATATGCTTAGTCATCTTTCCTGCCCTTGCCCAAAGAGGAAATCAACATCTCGACTTCAACTTTTTCTTCTTTTTCTTCAACTTCAACTTCAACTTCGTCTCTCTCTCTCTCTCTCTCTCTTTATGCGATTATCTTGCTGATCTTCACTCCGTACTGAGTCGACAAGTAGTATAAGAGGGCGATGGTAGCTACTTGGATACGAGGTAGCGTTCTGTGGTGATCCTTCTGCTCGTCAAGATAAGCATAAGCTGACAGTTTCATCAGGGCTTCAATGCAAACAAACATCAGTGAATTAGACGGTCTCACCTTGCCCTGGATGACGATATCCCCGCGCCCTGTCTACTCCGGTTCCCCGGTTCCTGGCGGGCGCTAGTTAAAAGCTGCCGTTGGATGGGTAACAAAGGCGGAAGCTCGCCAGGTTCTAGCTTCCGCTCCCCTGGCGAGCTAACTAGTAAACTTCCGGCGCTTTTTACCTTGTGCCATGCTTGATATCAATTCAGCCATCCGGGACTCTACATTTTGCTCGGCCATGGTAGAGCAATCTTCTGCATCTCTATCTCTCCAGAGTAGTTGGTTTAACTACTATGATGCAGCTCTACTTAACGGCTCTGTAACTGTTAAGTGGTTTCCCAAAGTGTCAGCATGTCGGAGCCTTTTTGATACCCATCCTTAGCTCTAGAGGATGCTCCATGCTCTCTCTGTATAATGAGTTTAATCTTACTCCGGGTTTCATCAACCCTTACTCTGGGTGATATAGATATGCGTGGCAGGAAAGAGCCCGACAACGATCTCGGTGCTATAAAATGGAGACGTCTGTCCAGCAAGCACATTTACCGGATCACACAGCTCCATACTCACATAGCTTCATACTCACACAGATCCATATCTTGATATCGAACATGAGAGTTACATTCCTCTTCGTCGCTGCTGCTTCTGCTGCTTCTGCCACCGTATCGGTATCGGTATCTGATATGACTGATACAACCCTCCTGTCTACTGCGCCCCCAGCTGGAACCACCAGCGGCCCATCGTACTGCACGGCATCGGACTTGTCGCAATACTCCAGCCTTCCCAAGCTGACGGGCAGCCTGTTGGATGAGTTCTATTCCTTCCACAGCGAGCTGCAACAGGACTGCACAGCCACTGAAAGCGGAATTGGAGCCCAGTCCTGCTCCGTTCTGGAGTCGTCCTACTGGTGCAGCTTCAGCACCGCTGTCCCGAGCACCCTGCTCTCCGACTACTCCTCCTACGCCAGCTCTGCCGAAGCAAAACGACAGGCAGATGCAGACCGCACGACGATGACTACGACCACGATGGCAGCAGGAACGCCGGGAGCAACGACCGGCCAGACGATAACCGTGCCATCTCGTTCGGGATCAACTACAGGCGGACCGAAAGCAACGAAAGCAACTGCTAAACCTAATGGAGCCCTTGGCCACCGAGGAATGACTGGTATCTGGATGGTTGTGAGCATGGGAATGGCGACTGCATTGGTGAACATGATGGCCTAAGTGATATTCGGATGACGGCGATTATACATTATGTGTATTCCAATTTAACTCTTGGCCGAATTCCTTGGATACCTATATATTGCCTGTGTCTAGCTTTATTGAAGTGAAGAATCAACCTTCGATAGTCTGTACCACTCAATGACCATTGACTATTTAAATAAACAGAGCAATAGAAGTAAATCCGAAGAGTTCCAATCTATCCTGTTAGTTATCAGATGAACGCCTGCAGGAATAAAATAAGTCCGGCAGGTCAACACAAACTGCGGCTGGCGACTTGTGAGCGTGTTATTAAGACTGTTGGGCTCAGCGTTGTCTTCTGAGGCATCTCCTGTTTGATATCTTCATCTCTTCTTCTTCTCATATCCTTCTTCTTCTCATCTTGATCTTCCCATCTTCATCTTCATCTTCTCTAGATAGACTGCCGAAGATGCCTCAGCCAGCCTGACCCGGCCACACACGTGGAGAAGCCTCTCGCGGCTGCAAGGATCAGTCGGGATTCTCGTTGCTCGCTTCGTATCAGCCGCTTTTCTTCGGACAGACGATGAGGCCAGCTGTTGCTTGAGCCTTGTCTTGAGTCTTGAGTCTTGCTGTTGACCGTCGTTGCTGTTGACTGTTGAAACATCTTGATATCCAGACTCAGGCATCACAAATGAGCGCGGCCGTCAAGCGGGTGCGCATCCAGGGCTGGACCCTCGCCGACAGCTACAGTAAGACTATCTTCTTCTTCTTCTTCTGAGGACCAGATCATGGGCTAATAATAGTGGTTGTGTGTTATTGCAGCCTTCATCTCGGTCTTCCTGCGCAGATACGCAACCTCAACTTCCGGAGACTCAGGATCGCCAGGATCACCATCTACATCTACATCTACATCTACATCAGCATCGACATCGACATCGACATCTCGCACTGCCCGCCGCCATTTCCACGACTACTTCGTCACGCATCTGCCGACCTCCTCGCTGCATCCGGACTCCCGCGCCTCTGTCGGCCCGCAGCACCACCTCCCGCGCTCAGCCTCTGTCCCGCACGCCGCCTCGTCCACCGTCGCAGGCTCAAGGACGACGGCCAATGCCTCCCCGGCCACCATCTCCCCGGCCTCTCCAGGGCTCGCCATCGGGCGCGAGACAACCGTCGTCCGCATACCCCTGCGCAGTGCAAAGCACCACTTCGGCGTCTCGCATGTGCGTGGCTCCCGCCCGACCAACGAAGACACCTACCAGGCCGGCGTCATCGACCTGCCGGCCTTTGCACGCCGGGCTCCCTTATCCGTCACAGTCGGCCAGCAGGCGGCCGGAGAAGGCAACAAGGCGGCGGACAGCGCCACGGGAGACCCCCAGGTGTTCTACTTTGGCGTGTTCGACGGCCACGGCGGGACGGAGTGCAGCGAGTTCCTGCGGGACAAGCTGCATGGCTACATCCAGCAGACGGCCGTCGAGTTCGGCATGGAGTCGGCGCTGTCAAAGTGCGTCGAGAGCCAGCGGCTGACCAACAGGGCCGTCCGCCATCGAGAGCGAGTGGGCGAGGTCAAGTACGGCGTCTCTCCTGGGTCTATCACTACGTATTCTTCGACGGACGACAAGCAGCGCAGCCACGCGGTGCAGGGGGACCTGCCGATCCTCCAGAAGGCGAACAGAGAACGCATCGGCGCCATGGAGAAGAAGCTCGTCGCGGACTGGCGGGACCTGGTGGGCGGCTACTTTCGACGTTTCCAGCCGCTGCACTTCTCCTACGCCGGGGCCGAACCGACTGGCGACGACGGCGATGATCATCACGGTACCACCATCAAGCACGCCGAGCCCGATGCAGAAGGGGAGGACATCCGGGTCAGCGTCCGGTCGGGCGTCTCTATCGAAGAAGTGGTCGAGTACGCCTTTCTGCGCGCCGACCTCGACTTCGTCTCCGAGCAGGTCTCCAAGGGCGACTCCAAGCAGCCCATCCCGACCAGCCCCGAGAAGCCGCTCAACGAATACGACATCCTGCACCAGCCCAACCGGTACCGCGACGACAACATACCCGGCGGTAGTGGCCGCAGTCCTCACCACCACCGCCACAAGACCTTCAAGGGCGGCAGCACCGGCAGCATCGCCATGATATCGACGCCCACGCCCACCCCCTTCTGGCACCCGGACGCTCCCTCTTCGCTGCTGGTCTCGCACATAGGCGACACCCGCATCCTGCTCTGCTCGACGGCAACAGGCCACCCGATCCCGCTCACGACCGACCACCACCCGTCCTCGCCCGTGGAGAGTGCCCGCCTGCAGCGCTACGCCGCGACCTTCGTGACCGACTCGTTCGGCGAGGAACGCATGTCCGGCCTGGCCAACACGCGGGCCTTTGGCGACCTCACGAGCAAACGCATCGGCGTCTCTGCCGAGCCCGAGCTGCGACGCATCGACATGCGGCCGGCCGAGTACTCGTTTCTCGTGCTCATGAGCGACGGCGTCAGCGGCACCCTGAGCGACCAGGAAGTCGTCGACATCGTCAAGGAGGCCAAGACGCCGGACCAGGGCGCGCGAGACGTCGTGGCCTTTGCGACCGAGGTGTCTTCCGACGGGGACAATGCGACCTGTCTGGTGGTGCGGCTGGGGGGATGGGAGCGGCGCCAGGAGGGCGGCCTGGGGAGCCTGGCCACCAAGGAGGCCAGGGAGTGGAGGAGCAGAGACGCTGCCGATCCGAGGAAGCGAAGGAGATGATTATTATTTACATTCAGGGACGTGGAATAGGGACTTTGATAATATTCAATTGTTCTTCGATATTGGTTTCATTTGTTATGACTGCCTGCATATACCATCTGTATACTCCATAGACTGCTTCTTATACTCTTACCGTCTGTATATATCGACTTAGCCACCTGATTGCCTTCTTTGCCAGTAAATAATTCTCTTCCGTCTAGTCGATTATCACATTCTATTCAATTCGCCTTGGTTGACCAAATATTGATCCTCAGCCTGGCTCCTTTAACTACAACTACAACTACAACAACCACTATCACCACCATCTATCACCATCACCATCCACGTCAACGTCAACGTCCACGTCTTCGGTCTCCATACTCCATACTCGCTTTCGTCTGCTCTCGCTAGTCCTCGCTGATCCGCCAAGTTCCTCCCGGTCGAGCCGCAGCCTCCATCTCCAGACCCAGAAAAAAAAAAAATACTCCAGCAAAAAAGCCTGCAGGCATCAATCAATCAATCAACCAACGACCCCGAAGACAGAGACAGCAGAGACCAAGGACAAGACAGTGAGAACAGACTCCTGCTCTTCCTCGAGGCCAGCTTCTCTTAGACCACCTTCGTCCAGACGTCTTCGTCGTTTGCTGGCTGCTGGCTGGCTTCATACCACCGACTATCACCATCACCATCACACGCGACATGTCCGCTCGCACAAGGCGACAAAAGGCCGCCCAGCAGGCTCAGGCTCAGGCTCAGGCTCAGGGCGAGGACGAGCACTCCGACTCTCTCGCCAACGGCCACAGCAACGGCTCCAAGAACGGCTCGGCTGAGTCGCCCAAGATGAACGGCAGTGCCAGGCGCAAGAGGTCGCCGCCGCGGGACGGCCAGCACAGCGAGAAGGAGAACATCTTCCTCTTCTGGCCCAACATCATCGGTAGGCCTCTAAACGACATTACTCTCGTGGTGATATCGTGGACTATATACTGTATACTAACTGTGGGCAGGATACATCCGTATTGTCCTTGCAACCGCCTCGCTCTACTACATGCCCCTTCACCCCCGAACATGCTCGGCCCTGTACAGCGTCTCCTGCCTGCTCGACGGGCTCGACGGCTACGCAGCCCGCGTCTACAACCAATCCACCACCTTCGGCGCCGTGCTCGACATGGTCACCGACCGCTGCACCACCGCCTGCCTGCTGGTCTTCCTCAGCTCCGCCTGGCCTCGCTGGGCCATCCTCTTCCAGGGCCTGATCTCCCTCGACCTGACCAGCCACTACATGCACATGTACGCTACCCTGACCATGGGCGGTTCCAACCAGAGCCATAAGAAGATCGATTCGAGCCGCAGCTGGATCTTGTACCAGTACTACAACAATAAAGTACGTGTTGACGTTTGATATTTGCTATCTATTTGCTTCTGCGTGGGTAGATTTGTTTGCGTTTGGGTTTGCTAATCAATTTTGTTTGCAGGCCGTCCTGTTCACTTTCTGCGCCATGAACGAAATGTTCTTCATCGGATTGTACCTGCTTTCGTTCTCCTCGCCGACCCTCTCGCCCTCCCTGCTGCAGCCCAGTGCGGTCCCTGTGGCCCATCCGACCACCCTCTTTGCCAACCCGTGGAGCGCCGGAGCCCTCGAGATGGCCCGCGCAAACAAGATGGACAGCTTCTGGCCGTGGGTGCTGACCGGCATCTCGGCTCCCATCATGGCGGGAAAGCAGTTCATTAACATTGTTCAGATGGTCAAGGCCAGCCGGTGGTTGGCAGAGGGAGACATTGCCAGACGGCGCAAGCTAGGCATCGCAAAGTGATTGCCTAACACTCGCCAATTTTAACGCTTCACTTAATTCATCAATATGGGTGCTGATATAGCATATACCTAGCTATATCAGCTCCCCCTTTTTGCTGCATTATTCACCCCTTACCACACTTAATCATCTCATGGAGTTTTCATGCTGGTCGGAAAAAAAATGCTCTATCCATACTTACTGCTCACACTCAAGTCCTATGTTCTGTTCTATTCTGTTATGTTCTCTGTTACTTGTTATTTGTTATTTGTTTACCATTCACTTCTATTCTCTTTTGTCTTGTTCTACTTGCTTCTTCTTTCTCCTTCTCTGTGATATCTTCTTTTATTCACTTCACCCCCTTATCTTCTACTTTTACCGTTGATAACGATCTTCTATCACACTTGCCTTCCTGTTTATGATTTTTGTATTAATAGCATTAGAGCCCCTAGGATAGGGTCGAGGACTAGGAACCGGTGCCGAGCTGATGTGCTATGTATCACGTCTCGCATTTTGCAATCTATCACTGTTTCAACGCATCTACCTCGCAAGGAATTATAGTATTATCGTAAAACCATCGGATTGAATATGCTGGTATTTCTATGATTAGGTCTCCGTGTTTTTATAGAGATTTAAAAAATAAAAAAAGCTGACTGGGGCCGTAACGATTATGCAAAAAAAGACATAAACAAAAAAAAGAACTCCAGCTCATTAGAATCATCTCTTCTTTTCACTCTCCGGCTTGCGGCCATATACAAAGTACCTGCAGCCGTTAGCATCAGATCAAGTCCTCTAGAGATAGAGATATGCAAGAGAGAGATGGCTTACATCGGCCAGTAAACATGCAATTTCCTGTTCTTGACGTCATTCCGCACGTCTATCAAAAACGCCTCGACCTGCTCCAAACTCCAGCCCAGTCCCCTCGTAAACGGCCCTATGGTCAGCGCCTGCAGACCCTCCAGCATGTTCGTCATCGTCCAGTTGCCAATCTCCTTCAGCTTGGGGTCCTTTGCCCATGAGTTCTGCGGCCATTTGTGCACTACCTCCACCACGTCCACGAAGCCAGCTGCCTCCATGCGGCTCTTGTGGCTCTTCGCCACGTCAAGCGGCCTCTCGAGCTTCTCGCAGGCTTCCAGACATAGCCGCGACCATTTGTCCAGGGCGTGGTCTGCCGTTAGTGTGCCGTCGTCGGCCTTGAGCGGGAGGCAGATATCTTGCATCTCAACATATCCGCCTGGGGTAATGTTACTGTTTGAGTTGAGTGGAACATTTTAGTAACTAACTTAGGGGCAAGTAACTAGTATATGCAGGGAGGTGAGGTGAGATGAGGTGTGTTGGGCTGCTCACTCGTAGCATTGGGTATAGAAGCGGTCCCAGTCCTTGAGGGAGCCGGTCATCATCCGGCCGTGGACCAGGTCGAATTTTTGATGGAACTGCCACTCTGCTTCTACATCGTCTATCAGGAAGCTGAGGTTTGGAGGGACCCTGTATGGCATGGCATGTTAATGGAGACCTGGACACCCACCCACCACAGAGACAGACGATGGAGTAATCACATACAGACTCGGTTGGATCGGTGACAGGTCTGTACCGATGATCTAGAAAGAGGTGAGTTGATGCAGAAAAGCCGGGGATAAGGTATGTATGTATGTATGTATATACTACACACCTGTGCAGAGGGATGCTCATCGGCTACGGGGCCAGGTCTATATCAGCATCCGTCTTATTGAACAGATCAACAGCCCGGCTTCGAAGTGGATAGCCAGGCCGTAGTCAGTTAATTAGGGGCTGAACATACCAAAGTCAAGGGCCCAGACGCCGGTTCCAGTGCCTATATGCTGGCTGTTAATATACACCTCGAAGCCCTCTCTAACAGTTTGATGATTTGGACGGCACATACCAACGTCCAGCACATTCTGGATATCTTGCTTGATTGGACATAGGCACAGCCTGCCATCCAGCGACCTGAGGAAGACTGCATGCTGCATATCTGCCATCGCACCGTTAGCAGACGTACACTCGAGAGAGATAGAGAGAGAGGGATACTCACCTAGCCGGTCGTTCTCTAACTATGGACAGACGACAAGGTTAGCACACTTGAGTGTGAGTGCGTCAACAGGCCACAGCAAAGAACTCACTTCATCGTTGGGAAACGGATAGCCTGGACGGTCAGCACTGTCTGTATACATGGATTACTTTCAACGATGAAAAGAAAAGGGGGACACTCACTGCCGGCCTTGTATGCATGATATCGCCGGCCGTTCTCCATGCGGTACGCGAGAATGCTGGACGACAGCGAGGTTGACAGCGTCGACCTGCCCTCCGACAGTCAGCTTTAATCTCGTA